GGCAGTATTTAATAGAAAGTTCTCGTGCGTCAGACGCTATACTATTACGGTACCGCTAACAATACGGTATTTTACATGGTAATTTAAAGTTTTCGGGCACGAAGACACATAAATCCCTTATTCCACAAAACATCCCCCCTTAGAAATGTAAGTCTTATGAGAGACGTCAGTCTAGTCGTTTCAGCTTTCCCCTCCAATCACTAGAGGCGCTTCAATCAACCTATTAAAGTTTTCTTTTTCCTGCCGGACCGTGCGTCAAGATTTGAAGTTTATTTTGTCATTTCCAGTCGTCAAAATTTAAATTTTGAACTTCTCCCAACATTTAGAATTATCAATTACCTATCAATTATCAATAATTATTATCTCAAAATGTCTTCTCCCAGTTTGTTAATTGAAAAGCATCAGAAATGCTGTGTTCCGGGGTGCGGCGACAAATACAGTAGCTATTTCCGCTTTCCAAAAGATGCCGAAAAAATGGAACAATGGCTAATAAAAGTTCGCAATCCTTTACTAAATAGCCTAAGTGTCGAGAAGGCTTATAATAATTATAGAGTGTGAACAAGACACTTTCCTCAAGAATTTATTGTTGGCGATCCAAAAGCCAGACGAGGACTCACATGGAATGCTGCGCTTTTGCTGTATCTCCCTGAAGGTAAGTTAATACTAGATATATGTGAGAAAGACGTACTTAAATTTTGACTTACTCCTCCCCATAGTTCTGATTAACGACAACGTGTTAGAATTCGGGTTTAAAGGAGCATAGGTCAGAAACATTAAAATTAATTTTAATTTTAGCCCCAATTATCAAAAACAGTGAGGAGTCGTTAATTGATAAACCACAATCACCAAAATGGCAAAAAGTGGAGATCGACACAGTTGAAACTCGTCGAAGAGTCCTAAGACGCCTTCAGAAATTAGTTTCGCAACTATGATTGACATAGGTAGGTAAACATAATAACTCGGTTTCGAAACCACTCAGTATAACAATTTTAGTTACTGCTTAGAATCGTGACGGTACATTGTACGGTTTACTGCTATGTTGGAACAAAGCTAATATTATTCATTTCTTTTTTTTAAATGTTTATTCCTTTATCAGGAGACATAATAATTAAAATATTCCTGGTTACATACAGGTACACCATATTCTACAATGCGTGTATCCAAACTTTTTTGGTAGATTCATTGATAACGAAATTTCTGTTTTAGATCAACCAGGCCCTTCATGTCGTCAATTTTTATCTACTGAAACTTCTGCAATTCGGGCAGACATTGCTACACCAAGTGGAACCATCACATCTGCAAACATGAAAAAGTCACCAACCAACTTTGTCTCTTAAAACTTTTATTGGTAGGTACCTAAGTGTTATTGCTTAATGAATAACCACCCAGTTGGGAGTAGGTGAATTTTAAAATATCCTAACTCAAGTAGGACTACTACTATAAAAGACTACTAATTACTAAAACTTGCAGTCGAATGCTAGAAAAATTAGAAGCTAAATGTTCGAAAAGCTCGTCTCCAATCTTGATCTATTTTTTTTTTTTGCAGGTCATGAGAGACGATGCCAAATTTTAAAGAACATTAACGTCACTAGGCAAAAATTCCTATCCCCAAGGGAAAAATATCTTTATTCCAAAGTTATAGAATCCAGCAATAAGTTAAGAAGAATCAGTAGAAGGTTGTCGTCATTTAAATCCAAAGTTTCTGCTGCTGAATAACTTGCATCATAAACTAAATTTCAAATGCTCGTAGACCACGTCAATCCATTGATATACAGTCAAGTCCGTACTCAAAACCAAAAGCCTAAAGTTAGACGATTTACATTGGACGAGAAGTTGTTGGCGTTGTCTTTGCTTAAAGCTAGTGGTAAAGGGTATAGACTATTATCAAAAATATCATCCAGGCGAAATCAGTTTCTTGAATGAGCTTTATATTATGTATAACTACATAAACTTTCTACCTAACACATGCGGAAAGTGTATTTTCTGGACTTAAAGGCTTGTCCGAACTCTGCTTTTTGTTGTCATTCGTGCAACTTCCATCACGTGCAGAAACACTTTCCTCACTTGTTAGATTAACAACGATTTTGGATTGTGAGAAAAGGACCTCTTTTGTCATTTTATTTACGATTTAAGTTTTTCATCAAGTTATTGTTAAATGTACGTCATTACTTCTTGTAACTGTCCTTATTATTTTTAACTTAACTAGCATTACCTACCTATGTATGTATACTTACATGAAAAAAAACTGTTTCGCAATAATTGTAATTAATTCCATATTCTATTATATTTTCTGTTTCAAACTTTAATAAATATCTAAATTTGTCATCTTAATTCTTAGTCAATTTTACCTTGAAGGCGCTTCAACACTACCGATTTTATGAGTTTCTTCTTTTTGGCACAATTATTTTATGCCAAAAAATGGTAGAAACTTTAAAGTGGTGGTGTTGAATCGCTAGAATCAAACAATGGTGCAAACGATCCACCGGAACGAATAAGATACCGAACGAACCCTCATTGCGTTTTGCATTCGCCAATAAATCCAGAATTACAGAAGCTGACCCCCCCAGTCACTAGAGGCGCTGAAAACTTATAGACAGGTTCTCAACACGGTACTTACCTTTCTAAGGGGGGATGTTTTGTGCCTTATTCTGTTTACATTTTGACAGCTGAGTTAAGTAATTTAACCCCACTTTTTTGGCTTGTTTTCTAACTTTTGTTTATTCTGAAGATTCCTGAGCTTGATTAATTTTTCCTTGGTGTTTTTTATGGAGGAAATAATAATTGCTGTTTTTGCAGACATAAATGGAGCGTAAACTAGTTTTGACATAGCATAGCGTTACGGTAAGGCATCCGATAAGTTCCGTTAGATAGCGGGCTCCGCTAACGCTAATACCGTAAAAACTGTCATACTTGTCAAATAGCTTTACGGTATTTGAAATTTGGATGACACGAGAACTCTCTAATAGTTTCAATAACTCTCTATTAAGTCGTCATAAATAAGTCGACATAAATAAGTCGACATAAATAAGTCGACATAAATAAGTCGACATAAATAAGTCGACATAAATAAGTCGACATAAATAAGTCGACATAAATAAGTCGACTTAATAAGTCGACCGGCTGACTTAATAAGTCGACCGATCGACTTAAAAATTTTTTTTTAACTTGATCTTCCAGCGCTTCCGTAATTAATAGATGTTGCAGTACCCCACGACATGAATATTGCAGTCAAAGAAGTTGAAAAACTAAGTAAATACAAAGATCTGGAAATTGAAATATCTAGAATGTGGAATGTCAAAACAAGAGTGGTTCCTGTAGTGATTGGAGCATTAGGTACCGTCACAAAAAAACTGGAGCAGAGAACAAGTGTAATACCAGGTCATCTATGATGATACAAAAAATTGCTCTCTTAGGCACTGCACACATCCAAAGAAAAGTGTGTGTGAACTCTTGCTGAGCTCTGAACTTATGAAGAGGTACCAATTTTCAACGAGAAATTGAGAATAATAATAATAATATTGTCACGAGCCTATTTTGCTGTGACTCGGGGTTTGGGATCTTTTGGGGTTTTAATGAATTAAAACAATAAGTTCCAAAACATTAAAAATAATTAAGTTTATTTACTACAACTAAAGGATTGATTAAGCAACCAATGAGAACATTGAAAACACTAAGACATCATTTATAAATGTTCAATAATTGTACTTACCAGAGACCCATCTTTCTGTAGCCCGTAGCACAACTTTAGCGCCCGAATTTAGATTTACAACTAATTTGAAAATTACGCTTTATCGATCCAAATCGATTCAGAATTGTCAGCAAAAATCATTGACCTAAAACCTAGGTTGTTGGCTTTAAGCTTTTTTGCTGATTCTGAGTGTGTTTGCTTTATTTAATATAACATCCGAATTGCGTAACTAAATTGGGACATTATTAGTCAATGAACTTTGGTTAATTCGTATTGGAATAATAATGTTATAAAGAGTGATATTTTTTGGCTTGACAATATTAATAATGATAATTGATGGTGAAGAAAACTTCAAAATTTTCAAGTTTCAATTTGTTCCAAATTACATTAAATTAGTTTAAACTGCTTATTTTAGACTTCACTAATAAAACTTGAATTAAGTAAGTCAAATTTGTATTTTTAATCTTTTATTTGTTTTATTGTCAACAAGCTAAGCTACTTAGGAAAATATGACACTAGCTTTGTTCCAACCCAGTAGGAAACCATAATATTACCGTCAGAATTCTGCGCAAAACCCAAAATTTTTGCGTAGAAACCGAAATTCGTATACAGAGTTGGTCCGAAATCGTTCTGAGACGGTTTTTTGGCGGGTGGAACAAACCTACTGTATATGATTGACCGACTTATTGATTGGCGAGTTAGCAATAAACGAATATAAAAAGTGGTCGGCAACACATAAATAGGCAGACTTGAACCAGCGCGATTACCTCTTTAGGGAAAGCTCCTCTAGGTGTCTTCAGTCTTCGTGTCATCCAGTGCAAATACCTCTTTTGGGAAAGCCCCTCTAGACGGCCCTTTACCTTAGCGAATCGCTTCTAACGTAACGGGTCTTCAAAAAAAAACCGTAATGAAAGCACACTTTGATTTGGGCAATCCTTTGGTAATTACTAGTTATTAATAACCTTCTACAATATACGTTAAATTAAATACCAAGCGAGTCTTTATCCTCCTGACCCTACGCTACGTACCCCGTCACGACAAGATAAAGTTGTAACAATATCCTCGATTTATCCACAATTCCGGCAGTTACGATTGTCGTTTTAAAATATTTTTTTATATTCTTTACGTACATTCTGTTCCAGTTAGTTTTGTTCTTATATTAATGTAATTTCCAATTGCCTCTATTTACAATTTAATTGTGTGTAATGTAACCCCCAATCAACTCTAGCTTTTTTTAAAAATTTCCAAAACCTACTCCAAATAATTCTCAAATAACTCTCATTAGAACTGTAATAAAAATTCCTTTTTTTAGAATTTAAGTAAAACCATCGGCGAATCATTGAAAAGCCCACCAGAACAATGCCGCCTAATAATAAAGGAGCTGCAAACCAACTCCCTGGAAAATTTAAAACAGAAAACCCGCTTCCAAGAGTCCGGCCTTGCGACCCTAAAAATAAAAATCGTCGACCGAGGAAAACCCGCCAGAATGCTCATCAAAGAACTGATGCTCACTTGTAGAGGTTCTGACTTGAAGGAAATCATTTGCCAAGAAATTTCAGTAGCTGCAGATATGTAAGTATATATAATCAACAATAATTAATTATTTATGAAATAACTTAATTTGTATTAATAATTGTAGGTTGAAATTAATATGTGCAGGGCGAGTTTTGAACAATTCAGACCCTCTAGCTAAACAGGGGGTGAAACACGGCCAGCAAATATTGGCCATAATTCTTACAGAGACCCCTCAGCAAGTGGAAATGCAAGAAAATCAAATTAAAGAATTGGAAACTGTTAAGGTTGATTCACAATTGCTTGCAACCGATGAACAATATATTAGGGTGAGTTCTGTTCTAAACTTCTAGTAGATATTTCTATTACTTAATAATCAAACATTTTTTTTCAGTTGGAAGATCAAGTTGGCAATCAAATACAAATCCCTCCAGCTGAAAAAACAGCCCTTATCGTTGCAATAACCCTTCACGAAAAAGGCCGCTCTGCATTGAAACGTCAAGATTTTCCAACGGCCCTGATTTACTTCCTCGAGGCCGATCAGCAATTCAAAAATTGCAATTCAAGTTTGTTGAAATTTGTAGACAACTACGCTTTGCTTGATTTGGATGTTGCCTGGTGTTACTTGTGCCTGCAAAGTTTCACTCAACTTCCCGAAGCTGAAGCACGATTGAGGAGGTGCGAGCAAACTTTCAGGCAAACTTACGGGACGAATATGGAAAGGTTGATTGCGCTTAAAGGCAGTTCTGGAAGCGAGGCTTGTCTTTTGGCCAGGCTGCATTTATTGCAGGCGGTCGTTTTGTATCATCAGAATAAACGGGCCGAGTCTTTGTCTTTGTTGAAGAGCGTCCAGATTGAATTGGCGCATTTGAAGGTGGATGAGAATTGTGTTGCGGCTTTGGAGGAATTGGGTTTGTATTTTGTTTTTTTAGTAGTTTAAAGATATTTCTTATGGGAGAGTTGGGTGGGTTAGTATTTCTTTCGAAGCTTTTGTGTTAAAAGAGGCAATCAAAAGCCGGTAATAGTCAATATTTGAATTATTATAGGCTCTTCCTTAGTTTGATTGTGCCCATTCAGTATGCACGAGTATTCATTTTGTTTAATACTTCACACTGTCACTAACTGTCTGTTTACTCCCTCTACCTAAATAAATGAATCATTGCATGTTTTCAAGTTTGACGCCATTTATCATCGAATTGGTGTTTTTGATATTTTTTTGTAAATTTATGTTAAAAATCATGGTTTTTTTGATGATGTGTTTGGCGTATACAGTGACTACGTAAAGGTTGGAATAAAATCCATAAAATATACAGGGTTGATATATTTCAAAAAACCTCGGACATGTCGATTTTTTATGTTAGTGGACGTTTTTTAAATGATGAGATCATATATACAGGGTGACCCAAAAACATGCATGTGACATTTTCACATGCAAAAATATCACATTAAACGTTGATTATCGTTGCTCTGATACCTTTCAAATATTTAAATGTTAAATTAACTGCAACCAGTAAGTATGCATCCAACAATACTGCAGAAGGAGGAGACCGAGGCTGTGGAAGAGCATATCGTGACGCCCTCTGAGCTAGTTGTAATTATTTGTCAAAAAATGTATTTCTTCACTTCTTGAATGGTTGTTGAGGAGTCAACACGCCATTTTTTTTTTTGCCACTTTGTGGTGTCTTTGTAAAAGTTTTCAAATAAATGTATCAGTACAACGGTTAGTTGTCTTTTAAACATCAATCAATATACAGTCCACTTTCACCGGGGAAACAGAAAAGCCTGTTTTAATCCCCATCAAAATGTATGGCCCACTTCCATAGATGCCTATAATACCTAGGACTTTTGTGTCGTCATTGGATTAAACTGTCAAAAACACCGTGAGAAGGAAAAAGATAAAAACAAAACAATAACAATATTTTTGCATATCACATTGTAGAAAGTAAACCATCTTATGCATTTGTTTACAATCCTAGACAATAACCATGGCTGAGTTCGTTTATTGCATCTGCGAGCAAAAAGAGCAAATTTGGACGGACGTCGCGTGATAACTTATCTTTTTTCACGTGTTAAATCACGTGACATCTGCCAAAATTTGCTCTTTTTGCTCGCAGATGGTATAAACAAACTCAGCCCATGGTTCCAATATTTGCAATCACCTGCCATTGTAGAAAATCATGTGGTTTGAATCGTTTGAATTACCTCATTTGTTTCATCGTGACATTTCATAGCTATTCAATGACGATTCCGGTTGGTAGAATGAGTGCAGAGAAAATGTATTTCTATCTGTTTCTTCAACAGGCTGAGAGAAAGAGATGAAAATACACTCAGTGCAAATTAACTCCAGCACAATCACTAACTTTGATCCACCCTGGGTAATTTTTTTGCTTAAAAGTAATATGCAGGACCTCTCAAAGTTATCTCCAAAATTTAAACTTTCTACGAATCTCAGGGACGTAATAATACAAATTTAACTAGAGCTATGTTTTGAAGAAAAAAATAAAGAAGTTAATTAAAAATGCAATAATATACAGGGTGTCTCATTTAAAATATCAAAGTTCATATTACTTTTTGGTATAAGCGGAAACGTCACATTTTTGAAATTATTTTAGAATGATAGATCGGGAGCAATTAATTGGGCATGCAAATTTTCATAAAACATCCAACAATCCGTTTTCTATAAGCATCTAACCTACCATCGACCATCAATCACCCTGTATATAGGGTGACCCAAAAACAAGTTATGACAGCTAACTTTATTTTTTTAAATGAAAACACCAATTTTTTGTTTCATTTTTAAATTCTACATTAAATTTTGGACATATTTCATGTATCATGTCCTATACCTATATCCTATTCACAATCCGATGTCCACAGGTACAGGTAAATTTATTACCTTTCCCTATCAAATAGCATTAAAAGGTGATAAATTTTACCTGTACCTGTGGACATCGGATTTTGAATGGATAATATCTTACATACATTATTTTCTTAGTTTTCCATAAACTGAATTTAATCCATGGGGAAAAATTCCGGCTAAATTGTCTCCTGTTAAATTCAAAGTTAGTATCGAATGATAGTTTATGGAAAACTGAGAAAAGAATGTATGATCGGTTTTGCTCTAAAATTAACCGTTTAAGTTCTACATCCTGTCAAAATTGCAAAAAAAATTAATTTTCAACTGTCAATATTTCCGAAACAGTTGAAAATAGGTATAGGACATGTTACATGAAATAGATTCAGAATTTACCGTAGAATTTGAAAATTAAATAAAAAATTGACGTTTTCATTTAAAAAAATAAAGTTAGCTGTCATAAGTTGTTTTTAAGTCACCCTGTATAGGTACATGGTATTATCATCAAAAGAACGGCCACTAAAATCAAAAATTGACGTGTCCGAGGTTTTTTGAAAAATATCCATCCTGTATATTTTATAGATTTTATCCCAACCTTTACGTGCTCACTGTATAAACTCTACGTGAATGTCACAGATGGGTAGAATTTTTTTTTATTTTTTAATGCTAACATTTTTCAATTTCCTCATTATTTGACTTTTTCTCAGGTTATACAACTGCTGAAGCCAGACTAGGACTCAGAGCGACCAAAGGCGACGTCAACAGGGCTGCCAATTACATCAACGAAAATAGGCAAAAAAGATATGAAGCTAGAAAAAAAGCTCTTGCCCAGAAGATTCTAGAAAAGTTAATACCTACTCCTAAACAAAATAAGATTATTAATAATTAATTTTTTTAGAGTAAGGAAAAAATTGGGCAAATGCGCCGACGGTCAACAATACGTCGACCCAAACTTTTTAAACATTTTAGTCAACATGGGCTACAACAAAGAAATCGCTCGAATTGCTTTGAAAATGTCCAATAATGTCATATCGGACAGTATTCAATATATCCAAGAGAATCCTACTCCAGGCCCCAGTCATTCTAGAAGTTTAGAGTTCAGATCTCTTATAGAAGATTTAATTCCTCAAGTAAATATTTTTTAAATTATCATAATTTGTATTGTTTGGTTCATTTTTTCAGTTAGTTGAAGCCGGTTTCGATCCTAGGATGGCAAAAATAGCCTTGCAAAAACACCAAGGCGACATTGTACGTTCTGCTGAAGAACTATTGGCCAATAACGGTGTAGTTTTAGGGGATTTGTCGCAATTTGATGGTAACTATTATTATGTTTGTATATTTTATATTAGGTGGGTTCGGTTTGCTCACTCGGTGCACTCCGAGTGACTCCATTCGCACTCCAGCCATTCGGGTATTGCATTTTACTGTATTAGGGGTGACTCCATTAGCTCTGTTCACTCCACTCCAACTCCGCGCTGAATAGCCGAACCCAGCTATTGATTGTTTCTTTTTAGTTCATGTAGAAAGTGTAGAAGAAATCAGGAAAAAAAGGAAAGAGGAAAAAGAGAAAAAGGAAAAAGCCTTTGAAAGGCTAAAAGACGATATTCCGATGGTTGACGATGATCATTTGGATATAAATTTGGTACAAGAAGAGATGTTTTTGAATGAGTATTTGTCATTGTTGGAAAAATAAATCACAAAAACTAACCCATTATTTTAATTCATAATCTTATATTATTATGTGTTTGTTTAATTATTATTTATCCATCTATATATTATATACCTACAGTATTAAATAATATTTAGGATTAAGATGTTTTAAACCATTTGTAAAGGTTTTCAATTAAGTTTCAATGGATGTTCTACAGGGTGTATTCTTTTTCCAAGAAATTTAAATAAAAAAAGTGCCTTGTTTTCTTGGAAATTGTTCTTTTAATGGGAAGACTATTGTTTAATATAAAATAAGTCATAGAGATAGCTGAAAATTTTAGGCTATCCTTTTGTAATGTATATAATTTCACTGTGAAATGAATTCTGTACTACTTCTTTCTTCAGTGGTGGGTAGGTTAATAAAACAAATAAGAACACAATGGGGATTTCTGATCTGAAAGGAAAGTCAAGATTATTATGCAACTAAACTGCTGGACAATTGTTCTCGAACAGAAGAAAAATTTTGCCTAACTTCCAAGCTCGATATTTTTGGAACCAAAACATCAACTTCTGGTTTCCATTCACAATTTTTTTCACAAAAAGTCAATGTGTTGGCCCGTAATAACCGGAGGTGGATATTCCGAGAGATGATTTTCAGAAGTTTGACGGCTGGCAAGGAATTTTCGTTTTGAGGGATGATAAAGCATCCCTGGAACAAGCATATTTTCAAATTTGAACGTGAAACACCATATAAGTGTCTGAGGAAAAAATAAGAAAATATGAAAATTTCAATTTTTTTTTTTCCGAGAGATGATTTTCGTAAGTTTGACGGCTGGCAAGGAATTTTCCTTTTGAGGGATAATAAAGCATCCCTTGAACAAGCATATTTTCAAATTTGAACATGAAACACCATATAAGTGTATGAAGACAAAATAAGAAGATATGAAATTTTCAATGGTATTTTTTTTTTTCCGAGAAATGATTTTCGTAAGTTTGACGGCTGGCAAGGAATTTTCCTTTTGAGGGATGATAAAGCATCCCTTGAACAAGCATATTTTCAAATTTGAACGTGAAACACCATATAAGTGTCTGAAGAAAAAATAAGAAAATATGAAATTTTCAATATTTTTGCCTGTCAGACTCCTCGAAGGTTTAGCGCCTGGTTTTATTGCTATATTTCTTCGGTGGCCCGACTATAGTTATTTGGCGCCATTGGCGAGAGGGCATGTGGTGGCTGTTATTTGTACGATGGTTCAGAAGGGATATGACTATGTTTCATTGTATTAAATCTCGCACTGCCAGATTCAAATACGCACTGATAGATTTAATCTCGCACTGCTAGATTTAAAGACGCACTGACAGATTTATTCTTGCACACTGTCAGATTTTAAGACGCACTGCCAGATTTAAATCAATTACCGCTACAAGATAAGCGTTATTGCAACTCGGAGTGGTAGTATTTGCTGCCACTCGAATTTGAGCGGTATGTTGCGGTTTGTTAAACCTGAGCCACGTGAAAAGGGCTAATTCAGAAAACTGGTGGGGGATTCTCATCCTCTAGTCGCAACCTATTGTCCCGACTCACTCGTAGAAAAACAATGGGATAGTTGGGACGATAGGTTGCGACTAGAGGATGAGAATCCCCCACCTGGATAAAATGTGAACACGTTAATTGAAAATGGCCGAATGTCAAAAAATGGCAAGGCCTATTTGATTGAAGTTAGCTACAAGCGGTGTTGCCACATCAAAATTTCCAAAAAAAAAAAACCCTTTAAAATGGGATTTCACTTGTAATTTTATTAAAAACCCGTTAAATAATTAATTATTAACGATTTTAAAATTGGAAATTCCTTAAACAAGGCCTCAAAAGCTTGTTTTTCAATAAATTTTTCTCACTTACCTTTTGACCGTAAATTAATGGATCCACAACTGGAAATTTCTAGCAGAAAATGGAGAAAACCCAAAGCCTCGTACTTTAAACCAGTTTTCCCGACCCAAAAAACCCTAGAAAAGTGGAAAAACCTGGATAAAAATGTAAACTAGACCCTTCAAAATGGCCGACTAATAATTTGATAGTGAGTAAGACAAAGGGAGAGACAAAGTAGCTTTATTTTTGCTTAATTGTTCTATTCAATTTGCATTATTTTCAACGGCATTAGTGTGCACCGAGGGTATTTGTGTCTTTTTTTACTAGTTTGTATAAAAAAGAGATAGAAATAGATTTTTTCTGAACTGGTTTTAGCAAAGGATTTGTTAAAATTCACAAAATAATTAGGTTTTGGAAGAAAAATTTAAAACGTAGCAATCCTAGTCGAAAAATGTAGTAACCCTAATGCAATTCAACGTTTCAAAGTAGGCCCTGTAGTTTTTGACAGTTAATTTAAAATGACTGGGTTGTTTCCATGACCTACTTGATTTGATAAATTTTTCGCTTACAGTTATCAGTATTACCGACATCTATTAAAACCTGGGCTGGGATCACGACAAGTAGAATTCTACTTTCATGACCTCAGGTTGCCTAGCAACAGTGGTCATCGCCTATAGTATACGCGATAAATAAGTCGCGAGTGACGTCATGAAAATAGAATTCTACTTGTCATGATTCCAGTCCAGGATTGCTTCAAGGTTCACTTATAAGGATTTCGAGCGTTTGACCGGTCGGTTACACTTGACAGATAAACTATGAAGTAAACGTCATTTGTTGACCAATTGGTCTTGAATGACGTACAATGCGTCGTTCATCTGTCAAAGTTACCGACTGGTCAATCGCTTGAAACCCCCCTTGGTTTTTGATAAGTAGTAATCTTATCGCTTGTCATAAATGATATTTGACATTTTGCCCAACAGTGTTGCCGATGTTTATATAATTACTGTTATGGAAAATTTGAAATTTGCAAGGTTTATTTGGGCTTTTTTTTTTATTTTTTTTTTTGTATAAATTCGAGCCTCAATGATTGACACAATATTTGTTATAAGTTGTAATTGGCAACACTGTTTGACAAGGGATAAAGTAGGCATTGCAAAATTTTGAAATTTGAATATGGCGTCCTGTAATACCGACATTGCAATACATACATATTTCTAAAGCCTACTTGGTTTGATATAAGCCCGCAAGTCGAGAATTTTCCTGAAAAATCAACTTTTAAGATTTCTGGTGATTTTTTTTTTTTAAATTTGGTGATTTTTCATTCCAATTTCTGGTGAATTTAATTTTTTTGACCTGGCAACAGTGACCATAATCTACACTTTGAATTTATGCGGTGTTGTCGCTTCTACTTTGTTATTTTTTATTGGAAAACTTTGAAATTTTGGTATGATAACTTTCTAATTCTCCTCTTTTCCTCCTGAAAGTTTCATAATTTTCCTTTCAGTAGTTTTCCATAACATTTTTATGTTTTTTTTTTTTTTTCTGGAAAGCTACTAAAAAAAAAACTATGAAATTTTCTGGAGAAAAAGAGGAAAGTTAGGAGCTCATCATACTAAAAATTCAAACTTTTCTAATGAAAAATAACAAAATGGGACGAATATAAATGAAGCAAAAATTACCCACAAGATTACATTACCTGATGATAGTTTACCAGAAGCTGAATAAAACCAATCCTTAAATTTTCGATGTTGCCAAACTTAGACCAAAAAGGGAAAAAATCCAAATCAAGAAAATTGTAATTTTATTAATTTATCACTCAACAAATAAATACCAAATAAAACAAAATGAAAAAAGGAGGAAAATTTCACCATTTTTCACACATTTTCTTTATTTCCTAATATACTGTAAAGCTTTGTTTCTTGGCTGTTGTTGCGTTTTGGCCGTAGACAACAGAACAAAAAAAAAAACTGAATAAAAATATTGTACAAAAATACATACAGTATAAAATAATAATAATATATAAAATTAACAAGAGGAGTATTCTTGGCGTTTTAAGTACAATAATAAATAAAAAGCGATTAAAAATTAAAGAAAAACTAACGATTGACCTTTGAGAATCTTAAAATCTATGTGTTTTAATACTTTTGAGTCAATAATAATTTAGAAACATAATAATTAAAATTAAAATTTGACTAGCTTTGGAACCCTTAGGGCCAGTTTCTCGATAGCGAGTTACTCTTGGGTTAAGCATAATTCTAGTAACTGGACATACTTACCCTGGAGTTAAAACCAACCCAGAGATAACTCGCTATTGAAAAATCTGCCCTAAAAACTAAAATTATTTTTCAGTCAATCGTTAATTTTTCTTAAATGTGGCAACATTGGAGATTTTATGATAAAACGCTTTGTTGCAATTTGCCCTAATAAAAGTTGCACAAATTCCTAAAAAACAAAAAAAATAAATATAAAACATTTTTCTTTTTCTTCCTAAGTAAGTATTATACTTAATTAACTGGTATGTGCTCTAAATATTGATTGTTTTTTTCAGATCGAAAATTATTTATTTATACTGGTCATTTATTTGATTTCTTTAGGGCCGGTTCTGGTAACTGCAACTTGTATACTTGACAGTTTAACAGAAGACAAATAAACCGGCCTTTTAGGTTGAGTATTTGATAGTCCGACTTTGCAATTATTGCTCGTCATTATTATTATTGATTAATTTTGTCTTAACCACAGCTTAACTAGAAGTGGAAAAAGCCAGGCTTTAAAATTATGAGGAACCCGTGAAAAATTGTTTTAAAGCGATACAGTGTGGTCGATAATAATTGAAAGTTTTGTTAGGTTTGGATGTAATTTTGACAATATTTGGAAATTCTGTATTTGTTCTTAAGTGTTCTGGAACAGTTCCTTAGTGTTCTATAATGATTTTAATTGCTCTTGAAAATATTAACTTGGATTAAGACTTTGAAGAATCTCAAGGTCTTTGACATGTTACTAAAAGTTGGAACGTATTCTGAACTGTTCTGAGAACTTTACATTTGTTCTAAAGTGTTCAAAAATGTTCCTAGTCATTAGGCAGTGTTGCAAGATTGTGCACAATTTTTCCAATTTGCTCAACTAGAATTTCATTCGCAGTTATCAGGCAGTGTTGCGAGATTGTACACGATTTCTCAATTGAAAATTATCAAAATTACATTCAATCTCCCTATTCCGAACGTAAAAACCTTTGTGGTCCCAGCATTAAGTGTAGTATTACCATACAACTAAAATTAAAAATATTATTGCGTCTTGATAATGCTTAACCTTTTTTTTAGAATGAGATCGCCTGTCTACCCTACATAATATTTACCTATCACAGAAAAAAAAAAACCCGAAAAAAACCCTTCAAACAGTCACCGGGGTGCCCGCACTCTTATTGACCACATAAAATTTGTGTTTGTTTCCAAAATAGCCCCAAATCACCGCAATATTTTCAATAATTAAACTAAAAGGCATTACGGCAACCGCGCCCAACAAACATAAACTAAACTTAACCAACCCGAACCTGTACAAGTTAAAAGACTTTAGCACCCCGAAAATAAACATATAAACGTTGACGCTACCGATAAAAACCACAACAAAATCCATCGCAACTGGACAAGGAATAGGAAACTTAGCTGCTAACAAAACATTACTCAACGATAACGGTAAAGTAACCCAACTATAACATGAACAAACCAAAAGCCATTTGTATTTCAATGGGATTTGTTTGGAATGAACAACTAGCAGGATTCCTTGGAGCCAGCGTTTTCTTTGCTGGATGAAATCGATTAGGGTAAAAGGTGATTTTTCCCACATGTCGCCCTCGATGAAATTGAAGCTGTAGCCCATGCTGTAGGCTTTCATCGCGAAGAAACAGTCTTCGGCTATCGATCCGTCGCGGCCGTTGTCGAACGATACTGTACGTTCTGCTGCGACCTGCAAATAAAAAAATTATTAAAACCTAATTGAAATTTTAATTAACCGATAGGGAATTTAATTGGCTTTAATTAGAGCCTGATTACATTGAAATCGGATGAAAATTAACGGAGTTGTGAGGCAGAAAATGTTTCTGTGTCATTTTTGGGAAAATTTTCAATATTCAATAATTTTAATTTTAAAGCTTCTCAGTTGAAACCAAATTAAAATCGTAATTAACAAGTTTGTAGAGTATTTAATTGGCTTTAATTAGAGCCCAATTGCGTTAAAATCGGATGAAAATTAAAGGAGCTGTGAGGCAAAAACTATCATAATTTCAATTTTGAAGCTTCTCAGCTGCAAAACTTTTGAAACTCAAATTAAAAATTTCAGTTAACAAAATTGTAGAGAATTTAATTGGCTTAAATTGAGCCCTAATTACATCAAGATCGGATCGAAGTGAACAAAATTGTGAAACAAAATGTGTGTTGTCATTTTGGATAAAAATCTAAGTCGAAAGACTTTGAAGCTTTGCAGCTACAAAACTACTGGTACTGAAGTTGCATTGAAATCATTCAGAAGAGATTTGTAGAGAATTTAATTGGCTTCAATTGAAGCCTAATTAGATTGAGATCGGATCCAAATGAACAAAGTTAAGATACATGTGTGTTGGTGTAATTTTGGATAGAAATCTAAGTCAAAAGACTTTGAAGCTGTAAAACTACTGAAGCTACATTGAAATTATTCACAGGAGATTTGTCGAAAATTCAATTGGCTTTAAATTCTTGTTTTTTCCACAATTTATTCCAGAGCCTGTATCTAATAGAAATCCTGTGTTCTTTTTAGTGCTTGTGATATTTTAGTACCATGTGATTCAGCCTTATTGATGTAAATTAAAACAGAATATATGTATTTTAAAATACTGGCTTAGATTTTGTAAATTATTCTGTGTTCAAATTTTTTTTTTGGAAATGGCTTAACCAAATAAAGACAAACTACAGCGTGTTCGACTAAGTTTCACCCAGGTCATAATTTGGGAACGCGTCATCCATGTAATTGAAATTTGGAGGATCTGAGGCGGGATTTTGTAACGTATAGAGATCGTTATCCCTATCCCTATCACTATCCCTATCATTATGGCACTTGCTGTCTTCTTCTCTCTTTTCGACATCAATAGAGAGGGGACGTCCGTCAATAGAAATATCAAAAATATCTATTTGTTACAGAATCCCAGCGCTGGGTAACTTTTAGTGCCGCTTCTACATGTATTATCCAATTTCCCCACTTTCGCTTGAGTTTCGATCAAGTGACGGCAACTTTAGAATCTTAAATGCAACTTATGGTATATTATGGCATTTTTCGTTAGAAAATTAGATTACAAAATCGGCAATGCCAAATTTATTGAGGCTTTGTGGAAGTAAATGATGAAAAATTACAAAGTGGAACATTCGATGATACGTTCCGAAATTATCACCTGGGTAAAACCTCGTGGGACACCTTGTATTAATTTTTGGAATCAGAAAATTCTGCTCTTCAAGAATATAGAACCAAATATAGGGCATTCCATTTGAATAAAGTTGAAAGTACGCAAACTTTCAAATTTTTAATTAGGTATGCCATCCAGACCAGATGTAAGTCCATAGAATAATAAGGGAGATTGGAAATTTCATTAAAAATGTGGATCATTGATATTTCACTGCACCTCATATTGTTACTTATGTTCATATCTCTAATATGGTATTTGCATCAATTTTTTTTATCGCTGATTTCGTTGGTCTATAGAAAATAAGTCAACACGTTTTTTTCTTCTTCTTAGTCAAAAATTCACGGAGACACATCGCTATGAAATGTGACCATGACGTCATAAATCATATAACTTTATGACGTAGCACATGCTCAGTATATCTGTATTATATACAACCTAATATTTATATACTTTTCGAAATAATCATATTTAAAATAAAAGAATACTGTCAACTGGTCTATAAATAAAAACCATCTTGTATATCAAAAACCCATTAATTAAAACTTGAACACGGATTATCAACAATCAGCAGTTTAAGCACGCGTAAACTAATGTTTCCACGAAATGCATATAAAAACCAATTCAACCCATGGTATCAACATCCATTTGGGTCCTTCTCTCCTCAGGGTCTCCTTACCCAAAGGAGCGTAGAGCCTCGAACGTGAGAATCATCTGGCGCACCTACGTAGTGCCCCTTTGGTGATGTACCCACTAGCAGACAAGAGTGAATGATTGAACGTTTATGTTATCCGTAACGTACATGCAATCAATCAAAATATACTTTATTGTCGGAAATAAAATTCATTGACAAAGCATGATCTTAAATAATGTGCAAGTAATTAAAAATTATTGGGTTATAAAAAAAAAGAGGTACAATCAATAAAATAAAAAATAAACATAAACATAAATGTCAAAGCATAATCCTAAGCAACACATGTACAATTTTTACTACATCAAACTATAGAGTCATATAGAAGGTACAGCAAATACAGAAAAAACATAAAGGTTGCGGTCAGAACAAAACAAAACAATGAAACAAACAAAATTAAAATTTTTCATTTAGAAATTCACTAATATGATAGTAGGCTTTTCCATGTAAAAATGTTTTGAGCTCTAGTCTAAACTTTTTAAAACCACCTATCTGCCTTAAGTTAACAGGCAGATGATTAAAAATTTGCCTACTTTTATAAATTAGTGAATTTTGCGTCAATGCAGTCTTGGGTATAGGAAGCTGAATTTTAAGAAGTTGCCTAGTTGGATAAGTTCTTGGATATTCTAAGGGTCAGTTAAGTTAGCCCCCCCCCCAAATAAAATTTCTGGATGAAAATTATCCCATAATTTTGCTCTCATTTTGCTCCACTAATTTCGATTTTTGCTCCATTACAGTGGAGAGACTATGTGGCCTATTAGGTGGGGGAGGCTGAATTAACGCTAGCCCCCCCAGTGAAAATTCAGAAATTTGATCATGCCCATTTTGTTCTCCGAGTTTTGCTCCATTTTGCTCCACTATCGGCGAGTTTTGCTCCATTACCAGGAGAGACCTACACAGGGTCCTTATTCTTGAATTGAGAGAAAATTGTACTCCCCGGGGACCTCCCTGATTTTTCTATTCCTTCATAATTTCTCTCGATTTTAAAAAGCTGTATTCTTGAAAATAGGAAGTAGAAAGGAGTAAGAGAAATAGCGAACACTGCTGCCAGGTTTTAGTACAAAATTCTGACCAATCACAAATATGATGAAAATTGTCATTGTGTCAGATTTTTGTCAAATGCACTTTTTGATGTAAATTATTAAACTTTTTAAATTTATCTGTTGCTTATCTAACAATTGTTAGGCAGGCCATATCGCGTATATGGCAAACTGTGCAGTGGGTAGTGGGTGAGAAAACCGAAAACCCTCTCTTTATTTAAATTTTTTCAAAGGTGAGTTTATAGTGTTTATGCATTTCAGAGCTGGGCAAAGCCCTCAGTAAAAGGGCTTGAAGCACTAAGCCCTAAGACCTTTATCAAAGTGCTTCAATTTCAAGCACAAATTCCTTTTTATTTTCAAAAGTGCTCCACAAGCACAAAGCCCTCAAAGTGATTTGAAAAGTGCTTGAAGCACATCAAAAGTGCTTGGGGTGCCTTGAAAAGGGCTTCAAGCTCTTTAAATGTGCTTCAAGCTTTTTAAATGTGCTTGAAGCTCTTTATATGTGCCTAAAGCACTTTGAATTTGTAATAAAATTCTCAAAGTGGCATTCACAGAGTAGCAGTAGTATGTTTTTTTTGAGATGTAGTTCTGGGGTACTTGGGGTAGTTGGGGTACTACATGGTAATTCAATTTTAAGGTTTTCAAAATGTTCAATGGGGAAAAGTGAAAAAAATCCAGTGATAAAGTTAAATAGGATACCAATATAAATTAATTATTTATTTGAATAATAAGTTCATTCATTTTTTTTTTTAATTCCATTCTAAGCTCAAACCCAAAACCTCCATTGTTAAGAGAGAAAAGACATAAGACGGTTCAAGTTCAAATAATAGAAAAAAAAAATTAAAGGACAAAATACGATCGAAAATTTTTAAGTGGGGGATAGGTTAAATGATGGTCAATTCAAATTCCTTTCAAAGTGCTTCAAGCCCTTTTAAAGTGCTTCAAGCCCTTTCAAAGTGCTTCAAGCTCCCAAAAGTGCTTCAAGCCCTCTAAAAGTAATTGAAGCCCATTGAAAGGGCTTGAATTACTTTTTTCAATTACAAATTACCAAGCATTTTTCTAAAGTAATTGACTGCCAGCCCCAATTACAAATCTATAAAAGGGCTTGAAGCACAGAGCTTTCAAGTCCTCAAAGTGCTTCAAGCACTTTCGCAAGCACAAAGCACTCAAGCCCTGCCCAGCTCTGATGCATTTATACTATAGGTACTAATAAATACCAACATTCACTGCTTTTCAGAAAGTAGAAATTTAGAACAAGAATAACACACACATGCATATAAAACAAGAACAATAGGAAATGATGTTAGATTTCATCAAAGCCAGACCAAAATTATTTGCAGCAAAGTTTTCACCTGGTTTTACAATGGCACACTCAAGAGCTTGCAACCATTCTTAATGCTCATCAGCAGGACCTACATACTTAGATGAACTATATATGCTATCACAGGCATACGATCCTCTTTACATTTCAAATTTTTTTTGCAATGATGATACTTTTAAAATATTGGAATTTGGTTGATTTACGGGAGCCTATTTTCAATGTTAATAATTGTGCCTTCTTCTTTCGCTTGCTCGTACTTCTTCAATTTGAGTGTAAAAATTTTAATTTTCATAGTTTTTGTAGCTTAATTATCAATACTAAATCAATATTATCTATGGTTTTGCTTTTCATTTCTTTTCTTTCGGTCAAATATAACATTATTGCCTCCAAAAGTTTTCATAACATAATTTCAATTCGAGAGAATTCTAGGGCAATTTGTTATAACATAAGACGTCAATTTTTCTTGGAAATTTTATTCTCATCTTT